GAGAGAGAGAGGGAGAGGTAGGTAGATAAATCGAGAAGATTGAGGCGGAGGAGACCGTCCATTCGCGTCGCTAAAACCAACAATTGTTTATTTTAGCGGTCTATATGAGATGTAGGATGCGCGTAAACGGATGAGGTTCCCCATGGCGGCTTCCCCTCGCAGCGGGCTGCGCCCATGCCGCGAAGCGTAACGTTCTCGTTCACTCGAACGGCAGGAACGGAGGAGCTTATCGTTGTGGAATGCGCGACGAGGAACAATGCGCGCGAGGAAGAGGAGGAACAATGCGCGCGAGGAAGAGGAGGAGAACGCGCGCCGCTTCCGGCGTAGATCGACCGGGAAACACCGCCGTCGACGTCGTCGTCGTCGTCACCGTGGGAAGAGGGGACGAGAGAAGACAAGAGCTTTTAATACAATACACCGTAATTGCCGTTTGTTGCACTAAACGTAACCCGTGTTATCTCCCGAGCATTCCCGAGCAGCGAAGGATGACATGGGGGAACCACAAAAGGTCGCGAATGCACGCGCTCCTACGTTGACTCGAAACGCAGGTGAACGGAGCCATCCCGGAGGGACCCGGTGCACCTGGCCTTCGTTCGGCTTAGGAAGTTCTACTCTCCCCGTGGGAGAAGATTCTCCCGCAACTTCTCCCACTTTTCGAATAGAAATGCTAATTTACGTTACACATCGATTGTATCTTCCGCTTAGAAATTCTTACATGACAATGGAAGAACGTGTTAGAATCCCGAATGGGATTCTTTCCGGTGAAAATCTGTAAAGACACGCATACATCTGAAATGAATTTGATTTTTTTTCGACTGTATAAAATTGCGATTAGATTCGATCTAATAGACTTAGTCCTTGACAGAATAACTGAAAATACCTTCATTCCTTTCCAACGTTTTTCAGATAAATCTTTTTTTTTTTTTTACACGAATAAGAATTAGAAGATAAAATTCAAGCTGTGAGGTCTGGAAGATCTGCGTTCGGCAACTTTGTTGCCGAATGCTTGCCCAACGTTTACCAACGTCGGTCAATCGCGGTCAATTTAACGCATTCCCGTCTCGAGACGCCTTTTCAGAGATCCGGAAATTGCGGCGAGTAAGTTAATCGTGAAGTACTCGGGTTCTTTTAACCGGATACCTCGCGTCACTCGCCGCTCGTTGGATCGAGGCAAGGCGAGATATCGTGCGGGCGAGAAGGAGGCCCGGCGCAACGGGAGGAGAGGTCGAATGCGACTTCGGAAGCGATCGAGGCCATCTGTTACGCTCGGTTCCCACGCTTCCGCTGGCCCGCCGGTCGTGCCTTACGGCTCGGCATTTTATTCCAGTGAGACGGCACCGGGCGCTCGCTCACGCACGAAGTTCCACGAATCATATGGGCGCGAAGAAAAGCCCGGGTCTCGGCTCTTGGCGACTGGCACATCTGGCGACAATATTCAAACGCGACGCGGTGGCTGTCAAGAAGAACCGTTCACCACCCACAGGGAATTCTCGTGTATGCGTGTCCTGTAGTCAACGATCCCGACGTGATCGACGTAAATCTATTCCCGGTGTTTCGTCGCCGGAAGCGACCGTTGATATCGGAAACCACCACGTTTCCGCTAATACATTATTTAACGATGGCTTTTTCTTCGCACGGAATTTACATGTTCGCTGATGTTCGACGAAAACGATCGCAACGAAAAAAAGCAAAATTCCATCCAACGAAATGAAGACGAGTATATGATATGTTGTTTAGATATATGTATGCTTATCACACGATCGTGTGTGCGGTGTTGTGTAAAAAAAATATGCTAGCTGTTTTGAATTGAAAAAGCATCGCCACCCTGTTAATAGCGTACGAACTTGGCAAGTAATGAAAAAGTCAAAAGGAGATGAGAAAAAGGCAAAAAAAAATTAGAAAAAAAAAAAAAAAAACAAGTAAGAAAGAAATATGTCAAACCTCGTCGGTAATTATAGGCGCTTTGTCCATGGTGTCGTTGATCGGACTGGGCGGCGACGTGGGGCTAGCACTCGGGCTTACGTGGAAAACCTTGGCCTCCTTGGCGGGTCTCTGTGGTGACACCCTCGCCGGGAAGCTCAGGGTCTTGGTCCACTGCGACAGACCGCGCACCATCTTCAAAGTTAAAGTCACTAACGTCACTCGTGCAACCGAGATGACTCGAGCTCGCCATTCAGTTTCGCGGCTCGCGAAAGGGAGAGTCGCAGAGTTTCGTCGCGGTGTTTCCTACATGTAAATCGCGTTCCCACGGTCTCACAGGAAGTAAATTCGCGCTTCTTACTCGCGATCGTTTTCCCGAGAGAAGTCCCGCGACTCGCGCCAATTCGCGAGTGTCGCGTTCGTGACACTCGACAGGAAGTACCGCCCGCTCGACCTGACTCGACCTCCAGATGAAGCCTCGAGTACCCCCCTGGAGCAAACTCCAAAGGCGCGAACCGATATTCGAGTAGGCGACGGTTATTCTTCTTGAGCTCCGAGGAACGCACAAGACGGAGTTCACTGAGGGACTGACACGCAGGCTGTGACTAGTTCTGTAGCTCCTCTGGACCCCATCACAGTTCGATGGGACGACGAGGTAGTAGTGGTGGTTATACCGATGGAGGAGGAAGAGGAAGAGGCGGCGGAGGAGGAGAAAGCGGAGAAGGGGGAAGAATCGGTCGCGAGCCAGAAGAGCCGTTGGAGCGACCGGAGACTGGAAGCTCTCCGAAGGATGATGCGTCGTGTGATCATGCGAAATGTAGTTTCCCAGTTTCTCGTTCTATATCCGCGGTTTATTATCTCCCCATAATTTCCTAAAATTTCTCCCAGTGAAGTATGGAAGCCCGAATACGAATCGACGACGAATAACGGAGGCAATCGTAAATGAATATGCCTGTAAGTCCGTTTCGTAAGCCGCAAATTCGAATCTGATTGGAAGATTTACGGACGACTTCGTCAATAAACTTTAATTTAATTTAGTTGAATTAGGATCTCTACCTTTAGCGGCAGAAGTGGAAAGGGATAAAGGGCCAATTATATTACGATTAAGGTTAACAGACGTTGGTGAAAAACCGGTCTTTAAACTGATCCGCCTCCGCAGGATAATAGACCTTTGTTTTGGGAGAAGATAACTGGGGGAACATGATAACCGGGTGAAGAACATCTGCGGGGGAAGGGAGGGAGAGACAGGTCGTGAATGAAGGAGCATGTGCATGTAAAACAGGAATGCGCTCTCTCTTTCTTCTCGTCCCCTCTTTCTCTCAGGTTTCTCGCGACGCGAGAACAGGTACGATCCTGTACAATCCTGTAGAGACCGCCTCTCGAAAAACGTTTACTTAGATCGTCCCACGATGATCAAGACATCGTTTCGTTTGTGACTTCGTTATAGCGGATAATTGTTGAAATCTCTTCGTCCTCTCTTTCCTCTCGATCGTCGTGAAATTTTCATAAGATGTTGCACGATTCGACAAAGAAACTGATCGTCGAAGGAGGGCTTTAAGGTGAAGCCCGATATCTGTTTCGATAAAAGGCCGTTTCCGGTACGGCCCTTTGGGAAGAATTCGATAACGCAATCGAAAAGCAAGGAAGAAAGAGGGGGGAGGGAGGGGGAGAGGGAGGGAGGGAGGGAGAGAGAGAGAGAGAGAGAGAGAGAGAGAGAGAGAGAGAGAGAGAGAGAGAGAGAGAGAGAGAGAGAGAGAGAGAGAGAGAGAGAGAGAGAGAGAGAGAGAGAGAGAGAGAGAGACGTGTTGCCAACTGCAAGTTTGTGGACAGTGAGCCGAGGTGGAGGGGGAGAGAAAGGAGATAGGAGGGGGGGAGGGAGATAACGACATTGCCGGACCTATATTGCAGCCCGGTATGCAACACCGTGCATTCAACTGTGCGCGGACTGGATCTAACTCAGCTGCGGCCTTCTTCGACCTTCCCCCCACCGATCGACGAAGGGAAGAAGCTCTAGATCCTAGCAATTGGCCATCCGAAATCTCGATTCGTCGTCGACAGTCGCGAAAACAACTGTCACGTTCACGGACTCGCGTGGATTGCTGTTCGATGAACAAATCTAAATATCTGCATTGTGCACGTCTTGCTCGCCAAGCGTTCGCCATCCTCGACTCGCTTTGGAGCGTAACGATTAATATTTCCGTTACCCCTTTACCGTCTTGATCACATTCTTCGTTTGTTCAGTTCTTCTATTTTTTTTTATCGAACAATTAACAGATTTAAAAAACTTTTCACTTGGAAATATGTGTTTAAGTATCACGACTAAAACTATACTTTTTAGGAAATGTTAAATCTGGGAATGATTTTTTTTAATTATAAAAATTACATTTAACAAGTAACATGAAGATTGTATAAAAATGAAACAAAGCAATAAACCAGATGACATGAAATTTTTAATCGAACAAACAATAAAGCATTATATTAAAGCATTAAATTCGTTTTGTTCTCAATTGTCTATATGAGTATAAAAAGAAATATTACCCTTGCGAAATACCATCCTGTATGTGTTTTTACAACATACAGACAAGTTCGAGAGTCATATACTTGATAGAACAAATAACTGTTTAGGCTTTTAAATGTCAAGAGGCATCAATAACCCTTCAACCCCTTACTCGCACATATGTCGAGCTAAACCACCCGAGTTAGTAAGTTTCAATTTAAAATATGAAAACAAAAACAATATTATTTCATACACTTAAGATTTAACTTTTCAATTCCATTGAGTTATACATGTCTAAATTTAAAAATTTCCTTAACAGAGAAAGAAAAGACACTGCGAACACATTGTATAACATAGCACAATATTTGAAATTCCTCGCGAAAAAGAGAGATCGGAATGATTAAAATGACGAAAGAGAGTAACGCTTTTAATCGGTCGTCTGATGACATATTGCTCAATCGACGATCGTGCGCTTTAAGTAAGTACTTCGCGCCGCATCTGCATTTGTCCCTCGATCACGTGGCCCGCAGGTGGAAAACGCGAGTGTGCGCGAGCAATCTGCACGATCGCTATCCGATCGGAGAGTTTTCTCCTTTCAGGTAGGGGATTTTGGTTGAATCTTTGTACGCGTTTTGCGCCCAGACGGAGCACTCCCCCCCCCCCCCGAAGGCAACAAAGGTGCGCTTTTTCGAAGCACGTCGGAGGGATACGAGGAGCACCTGGCAAGAGGCGGGATGGGAGGGATCGAGCACATGCGGAGGATAGGAACGGAACGCGCGCCGTCCGGGGAATAATGTTGGGAAGTGTGCAGCTGTCACAGCAGCTGCGAACCTCCTTCTATCTCCCTTTCTCTCTCTCTTTCTCGCTCATCGAGCCAGCAGCCTTCCTCCGGCGCCTCCTGCGCCTTTTGCGCCTCGCATCGGGCTGCCCGCTGCCTAATTCCTGCCCCGATATACTGATTCCTTTACAGATTTTTATATCCCCTTGCTACAGTGTATTCGCGAGCGCAGCTGGACACTGGCATAGCAACGGGAAATCGGAGGATGCTCTAGAAGCACGTCTCGGCGATTAAGATATATCCTTTAATTGATTTCACTTTTTGACTTTGAATTCGTTCAGAATTTATAATGCGCCTCCAAGAAATGTATTGTGAAATTATTCGAAAGTCAGATTTCAATCGGAATTATTTTGTTTTTTTTCTAAGAGATACGAGAGATCTAGGGAACGATTCTAATCTGTTTCGAATTGTTTTGTAATAAATCTTCTGGTTATCGCTTCTGCTTTCGCCAATGTGTGCCGATTGTATTTTAATCAAAGAATCATATTCCTCTAGATGTAAAATAATTTTGTTTGAATATTTAAATGATAAAAACGATGAGGCTGTAACAGATTTTCTGACAAGGTCGGTAATTGTATTCATTAGTTATTCATAGTTTTTATAAAAGAATTATTTTCAAATTTTAATTATATTTCATATCTTTTACGTGACGTGCCGAGTAATATATTATTTTTAATAAGCGTTTATCTCTCGATCGTAATAAAGCAAAAGCCAGTTGTTTCAAATAAATTTAATTCGTGACTGTGATGATTTACTTTGTTACTGTAGGAAGACCCGCTTCTTATCTCCGTTTTGAAAGCAACTCTACCATCATCGCGAGATGATGGAGAAAAAAAGCATCCTTGCTGCTTTCCGTGACGAAGAGATCTGCCTGCATCTGTGTCCGCATCAGCTGCCTCTTGTGTAAAACTAAACTTCCTACCGTGCCCACACATCTGCTCTCTCGTGGCATATTTGTAATGGATGTTACGCGACATATCCTGACATAAGAGGAGAAGAACGATATCACATTCATTAAATAATAATTATAATTCTTTATTTTTTTATATCTCGCGTACTAATCTCGCATATTTTTTTTATGTCTCGCGTATATAAATTGTCTGACGTTTGCTTTTTGAGTCACAATCCTATTTTTATTACGATACACATATATTATTCAAAACAGGTGTGATTTTTGCAGTCACTTTACAATGTTAAATAATAATACGTAATCGAGGCGTTTAAACGGAAAGTTTTGCTTGATTCTGTCGTTTAATTCTTTTCAATAAAAATGTGATTTGCGACAGATTAGAAATAATCTTGTCTTCTTTCAAGTAATAAAAGATCAAACAGAATAAATGATATTTCTATCTTATATCTATATCCGGACGGTCACTTGCGATTATTTACGCTTGTGTAATCGACAGCTAGCTTGGAAGCGCAATGGAAGACTCGTGTCGCAAAACAGCCAGGTGAAAGGAAAGTTTCGCAGCGTTTCGTATACTAGATAAGTTGGTGGATTCTTCAGAGTAACACGGATCTCATATTATTCATATTATCTCATTTATCTCAGACCTTGAATTGAACGTTTCTTTCCGTTTCGATCGCGATGTCATTTTCAGAAAATTCTTCTAGCTATAGTTCTTGTTATTGTAGTTATAAAAAAATAAACATTAAGAGATTAAGAATTTTATGTGCGCGTATGTGTTTGTTACAGATAAAATCATATCGGAGAGAAAGAGAGAGAGAGAGAGAGAGAGAGAGAGAGAGATCGTATTTGTAAAAAACTAGTTTAATCTTCTCAAAATAAAATCTCAGCCTTTGTTGAAAGGAACTTTTACTTAATCATCAGGAATTTGAGATAAAAACAGTATCAGTGAGTCAAAGATAAATTATCTCTGCGCGAGACAAAACATTTCAACTTATCCTATTTTCTTATCACATTTTTCTTCGGATCCGGACTTCATTTTGAACTTGATCCCTAATCAAGTCACTCTAGAGCGTGGGGAATTTGGGACAGACGGCGGAGAGCAATCGGCACTCGCAGCTGTCGACAGCTTCCAGAGCAGCATCGGACAGCGGCAGCTGCATCGACGCATCACGGACGCCCCAATTCGATCGCGATCGGACGCGACGCTCGGCTCCTCCGCTCCTACGTGCACACGCGCGTCTACGTGCGCGCACGCGTGACGCGTATGCACGCGGTACAGTCGGGCATGTTAAAACGGCGCCGATCGATTCACGAAGTTCGCGCCCGCGAAGACGTGAGACCGGGCGAGGCGACACGAGTCGCTCGTTCTTCACGCGCGCGTGCGCGAACCGCGCGGTTAATTGTCGCGAGTGAGCTTGCCCCTCCCTCCCCCATCTCCCTTCCTCTACGCTTCTAACGCGCTACGAACAATTTCCTCTTATAATGCCGAGTGGCGAGCGCGTTGTAAGAAATTATTTTTGCATCGCGTATGTACGTAGGTACATACGCCGATACTGCGCGCGACCAATAAGGGAAAGTTAAGTCGCGCCTCGCGCGAAAATACCAATGTCGCGGCTCTCCTCGTGACGTTGTATGTACGCTGTATGTATTGAACTCCCAGTTCGGTAGCGAAGATGGCGTTAGATGAACCAGGCAAGATCTTGAGGATGTATTATCACCTATTTTTATTTATACAGTAATTAAAAAGAAAAAATTATAGATTATTCTAGATCACATTTAAAAGTAACATCAAACATTTTGCGGCGGTTTAGAACCTGAATCAGAAATTATTTAATTAAACAAATAGAAAGATGTGCTTTAATGGAAATGTAATTGAGAAAAGTATCAATTTTTTATATAAGTATTTTAAATATTCTAAATTATTTATATAAAGTTGCATTGCGATACAGAGATTAATTGTTCTGTAAATAAATATTAAATTTTTAACTAAATTTAACTAAATTTTTATTACAAAACGAAACGAGTGATCGTATAAATAAAATTAAATTTTTGATCCATGTTCTAAACCGCCGCTAAGCTTTTTTGTATTAAATGTGGTTTAGAAAAATTTCTAAGTTTTTTTGTAAATATAAAAATTATAAAAAAATAGATGTAATACATTCTTAAGAATGACTCATGTCTATTTCTATCAATATTTGTTAATTATAATTTTGATTTAATTTACTCTGTATTTTTTTCTAATTCTTAAAACTAAAAAAAGCTAAAAATAAATTCTGAGATTAAAATTAGTCTAAAGATTAAGTTAATTTACATCGGAATTAATAGTCATTCATTGGTAGAGATGATCATTAATTCCGTTATTGGAAATTGAATCGATGAGTACGACGGTGTCGAATACCGGAGAAATAGTAAACAATTTTTTTTCCCATACTCATTGATAGAATAATTTCGTACTCGTCGTCCTTAACACGTAAAGCCGTGTCGGATAATCACATTCTCCGCGAACTTACCGTTTCAGATATCCCGGTGACATTATTGGTCGATTTACTCGCTCGTTCGCATCGAGGAATCAAAAGCAGACGTCAGTCGGAGGTGGACGGAGCCCGATGCCCTTTAACGGTTACCCAGCGTTAATACGCAGTGGTAATACCGCAAATCGTCAGGCAGGCGTAATCACAGACTTCTCGATCATTCAATCCGAAGTCTCAAACTCATACGAAGTCTTCTTCCAATCGCGCGTGGTTAAAAACAAGTTTACCTTAAACTCATTTCCCTTCCCCCTAGACCTACTAATCGACCTATTTCGTAGTCTCAAACTGTTCCCGAGCTTGGCGGAACCGGCGCGCGTTACGAATATTGTATAATCGCGATAAAACCCCTCCACACGGACGGTGGACACAGAGGGGCGGGATCGACAACGATCGAACACTGCGTGATCAGCGGCAACCTGCGGGAAGCGCCGGCGGGAGAGTTTTGCGTTTCTTACGAAACAAATAGACCCGTGGAGAGAATCCGTTTCCGCGAGATCCGTTTTCGGGTGTCGAGGGAGACGATGGGTTCGTCGCGCGGGGGTTGGTCCCGTCGAACTTGGACCCGTCGTCCGGGAAGTTCTCGCTCCTCGGAAGGGGAAACCTCGTTCGCGCAGTGTCCGTGCGTCCTGCGACAGCGTGAAGTCGACTGCACAATCGCGTGCGGTCGCATTACCGATGCGGAACGCGTCCTCCACGAGCGACGAGACCGAGGCCCCACCGCGCGCTAGGTGAAACTAAGGTCCCTCGGGATATCACGCTCGGCGGCGGGGCACACGCGGGCCCCGGTCCCCGCGTGTGTACGCCTAGTTGGAGGCAGGTGGCGGTAGACAGGTGAACGTGTTGGCGGAACACAGGAAGTGCCGGAGACAAGAGAGGGCGATACAAAAGCCTCCCTCCGCTGGAGGGGGCGGGGAGGGGGGGGGGGCAACGACGACACCACCGGAGCAAGGGGAGGGAGTGAGAACTCGCCAAGTGCCTAGAAACAGAATTACGAAGAAATGCGCGTTACAGCTGCGAGGGAACTTTCCGAAAAGCGCAGATTGTGGATTCTTTCTCTTCGAGAGAACTCGCTCCTTTTCGCGAATTATTGTCGTAATGTGATGGACTTATCACTTTCGGACTAATCTGCGGGAAATTTGTTTTATAAAAAAAAAAAGAAGGAAGAAATGGAAATATTGATTGCATTATTTGATTCGTTCATGAGCATATTTTTATTTTATTAGTATATTTTGGAAATAAAATCTGTCGCAAAAGATTCTCTCTCCAAAACGGCAAAATTATGATGCTATGTCTAATTTTCATTTATTTCTAAAAAAAGTCATTAAAATTTATTAATTATTGGAATATTGCAATCTCCATCCGAAAATTAAAGAGAGCCACCTTAAATAAGATATTTAAAATTAAAAAACGTAACAATAATCTGAATTGATAGAAGATTTATTACGGAATTGTTTAGAATGGATTGCTATTGAAATTATTAATTTTTTTCTTGAAAAACACAATACAAAATAACTGAACAATTTCGTAACAGGTTCTCTATTCAAAATTCGAAAAGTTAATCTGGATTAAATTTGTTACAAGAGAAAAGCCCTTTCATTATCAGAAGCTATCATTGTCCTCAACATTTTGATTGGAAAAAAATCGGTTTTGTGGATCAACAGATTTGTCGTTAACTTAACATCGTCCCAAGTATTCTAAGAAACGCGCTACGACGCATAGCAATGAACACGTATGATGACGTAGCGGATGTCGTAATGATAACATTTAGAGTTGACTCGCTTCTATCGTGTCATCTATGACATTTCGATAGTCTCAATAAATATATTTTATGGTCTTCTGCTTGAATATCTCAAATCAATCTTCCTTTAAAAAAAAAAAAAAAAAAATACGATTAGAACGTATCTCGAGACTC